CCCTAGCTGCCCTCCCCTCTTTCCTCCCTTCCCCCGCAACAACTCCGGTGCTGTCTTCAATATGGGTGCAGGGAGAAGGCAGGGGAGGCAGCTCCAGTCCTGGGGTTTGCCCAGCCTGGGCTGGAGGGAGTGGGGGTTGATTGGAGCCCCCACCTCAGCAAGCATAAGCTGGGCAAACCCAAGACCAGAGCTCCCTCCCTTGCCTTCTTCCCCATCCCATCCTGAAGACAGCACAGTGGGGAGGGACAAACAGAAATTAATGAAGGTACTTCACTTTGGAGTGCCTTCATCTGAACCCTCATTAAATGAGGATTAATTTGTGACATAATAGGGCACTTTTAAAGCACTCTGCAGCTGTGCACTTCTGTCAGTGCATGTCAGTGCATGGCTCCAGAGTGCTTTCAGGGGGCTGATCGTACAGCAAATACCACTTCTGTCAGCACCCATGGAGTAATTTACACATAGTTGAAATTAGAGTATATGAGCTCCTGATGCCTAGTCATCCAGTATAGAGGAATCACTAAGCTATCTTTCTCACAAATAGATACAGCACAATGCCCAGTGAGAGTAATCCACATACAAGACTCCTTCCTACAGTATATATACTTAAGGTTCCATAAAAACAAGCGAGATCACCTGTACAGCCATTTCTAGGAACATAGGACACAAAGGACGTGGCCATCAAATTCAGTCCTCTGCATTTGCAGGCAACTGTTTATCCAAAGATTCTCCAAAACTGCCCCCTCTACAGATACAAGGTACCAAACTAAAAACATGGAGAACATCTTACACCATGCCACAGGTAATAAGTAGAGGTGCACCGATACATTGGTCCGATATCAAATCGGTACCGATATAAAGAAAATTGTGTAGATCAGATATCGGCCCGATGGGGCTGACAATTTGGCCAATAAATGCCAGTGCTGTGCACAGCCACAGCACAGAGCAGACCCAGCAGTGTGGAAAGCTGCCTCCAGCTGGTAAGTTGGAAGGGGAGGAGGGAGGAAAAGGTGTGAGGGGGACAGATCACCTCCCCCTGTGGTGAGGGAGGGGGCAGGGGCAAGCACTGTGGGGTGCCACTAGGGGAGTCATACTGACGTAGTGAATATGGCACATCTGATTGAGTAGATACACCTGCAATTATTTTAAACACTCATTTTCCATTTTAATGGTATTTTATGGTCCATTCTTCTGATCAGGATCACTGGTCTGTGGCTGATCAGGGGCAAGCACTGTGGGGTGTGGTGGGGGGGCATGGGACGGAGGTGCAACTCATGACGTGGGGGCAGCTCCCAACACTGCTTGCACCCTCAGAGGGTGGGGGCAGCGGGGCATGTGCCTCCTGGATCTGCGCAGCATGGGGTGGGCTGCAGCTGTGGGGTGGCAGGTGGTGGCACGGGGCTGGAAGCAGAGCTGCGGTGAAATATGGGGTGCCCGCAGCCTCCTCCCAGCACCGCCAGAGCCCACTCTGAGCCCAGCCCCCAGCAAGAAAATCCCCGCCCAGCCCTGGCTGAAGCCCACCCTGCAACTGCAGCCTGCCCCACACCATGCAGATCTGGGGGCATGCCCCCCTGCCCTTCCTGGGTGCAAGCAGTGGCGGGAGCTGCCCCCACCTCACAAGTCGTGCCTCCATCCCACGCCCCTCCCGCCCCAGCTGGGTAGCACTTGCCCCTTCCCCTGCCCCCTCCCTCACCGTGAGGGGCATTGATCTGTCCCACCCACCCCCACGCCATTCCCTTTCCCTCCCACCTCCCCTACCACCACACCAGACTTACCGCCCGATGGCATCTGTATCGGATATCAGATCAGTACCAGCCAATATGCCTCTTTAGATATCGGCTATTGGTATCAGCCCCCAAAATCTCTATCAGTGTATCCCTAGTAAAAAGCATAGGAGATGAGGGCACTGCCAGTCTTTGGTTAATATATGCTGAGATGATCTTTCACTACTATATTAAATCAACTTTTTTCTTACTATCACTTTATTAGGCTGGGTCTTCACATTGTTTTAGTACCAGTATAACTATGCCATTTAGGAATATTCATTTTTCCAATATAGTTATATTATCAAAGTCCCTTATGTGAATGTATTTTTATGCTATAAATGCACCTTATAGCAGCACAGTTTACATTTTTCCACTGGGAATACACTGTTCTACTATCTGCATATTTATATTTGCATCAGAACTAGGGGAGTCATACTGACGTAGTGAATATGGCACATCTGATTGAATAGATATACCTGCAATTATTTTAAACACACATTTTCCATTTTAATGGTATTTTTGGTCCATTCTTCTGATCAGGATCACTGGTCTGTGGCTGATCCAGATAGGCCACAAAGGATCAGCTTTTCATCTTACTATTGGGTTCTTTCAATCCTGCCCAAGCCACTATTTCTCATTTATCATACCCCTTGGGTGCATCCACATGAGATGTTTACTGCGCAATAGACTAATTAGCTCAGCAGTAAATGTTGTGCATCTACACGTGCACCCCTATTCGGCTGGAGTAGACTAATTAAGTCTACAGCAGGATAGTACTTGTATTTACATGTATTGTATTTACTTGTATTGTAAATACAAGTAGTATCCTGCTGCGGAGTTTTTTACTGCTGCCCCAGCTAGCTGGGGCATGAGGGTACTTCAGTGCCGGCGGCTGCCTGCTGGCTACCCTCGTGTCCCAGTGAGCTCCTCTTCAGCACATTGAGCCGGGGGAAGCAGCTCCAGCCTGGCAGGCTGATCCTCAGGGTCCCCTGCCAGCTGAGGCTGTTCCCTACAGCTCAATGTCTTGTGGTTCTGGCTGCACATTCAAACAGCTTGCCCGGGAGCAATAAACTCCTTGGAGTTTATTGCTTCGTATTAATTGCACATGTAGACATGCCCCTTATGTACTGTATACTGTAACCTTCTCTGTGGCTCCACGCCAGCGCTCCAAAAATCTGCAAGAGAGAAAGTTATAAGTTAATTTACAGAAGTAACAATAAACAGATAAAAGTTAGCAGAAATGAAAGACAGTAAAATACCTTAAAACTGGAACAATATCTTAGTATCAACTAACAACAGAATAACATGAATAATAACAGAGTAGAAATGGGAATCACATGTTAAAACTTTGCGAGAAATGGAGTTGGTTAATAAAGTGGTAAAGTATAGCAAATATGGACAAAAAACTTTGTGTCCCACTGCTTTTCAGACAAATCCCCCAATTTCAGTGAGAATTCTCTGTATCTTATAGGGTGCACTCATAAATTAAAGGTTTGGGCCCTTCTTCTGTTCATGTTTGTTTCCTCCTAACTACTATTTAGGATTCATTAATGATGTAACTCAGTGTTTTCAGATATGATATGATATGATATGAACCTTGGGGGTTTTTAAGACCCAGCTAGACAAAGCTTTAGGGTGGGATGATCTAGTTGAGGGTGGTCCTGCCTTGAGCAGGGGGTTGGACTAGATGACCTCCTGAGATCCCTGCCAACAATACTTTTCTATGATTCTATGATATGAGACATGTAATAAGATAGCATTATATTGGTATTAAGGCCAGTGCAGAGTCTTGTGGAGATAAATAAAAACACTTTTTGGATTGGGAAGACTGAATCTTTTTCTCAGCGAGTGCCTTTTTTCCCCCTAAACAGCTTTGCAGAGAGAAGCATACAGTGGCTGGAACAGTTAAGAAAAGGAATTATAGTTGAATGCAGTCCAAGGCATGTGGTAGCTAAGCAACAGAACTTTAAACTCTGTATTGAAAGGCAGCATGCAGACACACCTCCTTTTCCATTTTTCTAAGGAAGCAGTTTACATTTGCATCACTTTGCTGGTGAAAGACGTTCCCATCTGCAGGGAAAAGCTTCTTGCAGGGTATGTTATGTTTTTATATATACACACACACACACACACACACACACATATATATATATATATATATATATATATATATGCTAAGAAATGGCCTTTCAAATTAGGTGGATTCCTAATGAAGCCATTATTTATTTACTGGAAGAGACAGTCTGAAGTGGAATATGAATATGTGGTAGCTATACTAATTTATCATATATATTCCTGTTGCTAATTTCATTCAATTATGTTTTCATGATATTTTAGTACTTTTCTCCCAAACCCAGGGTCCAAGCCTGTAGCACCTTACATGTTGAAGCCCCTGGAGCTAATGGGACTACTTACATGAATAAAGGCTTTAACATCACCCTCCAACAATAGGAAGTAGGAAAAAAACCCCACATTTACTTTTGAATAGAAAGTATATTTTTTGTGCTCATATTGATAAAAAGAGAGAGAGAGAGAGAGGCTCTTTCCACCCATTTTCTAAGGGGGTAAAGGAAGAAAACTGCTACCAGCTTTTTTTAACTAAAACAGTCATTAAGTCTGGGAGCTATATGTGTTGGTAAAGCTAGTTTAGCCGGTAGCAAGATCAAAATAAATAGCTTTTTCAATTTTGAAAAGTTCCTTTTCAAAACTTTTAGTTAAAACATACACAAAATATGTATCAGCTATCAAAGTTCAAAGTGACAAGCCAGCACAGTCACATTTAATGCTGGCAGCCTATTCTCCTAAATCATGACCACTGGCACTCTCCTTTTTCACTAAGACTGTGAGTCTTAGTTTTAAATTTTGTATCTTGGGTCAGTTTGCATTACAACCTTAATATTATTTTGATGACAGATTTTCAAAGGGCACAGTGAATGTACATGTAAAACTGCCCATTCACCTGCCCTACTGCAAAACCATGCCTGTTTTTCAGATATTAAACTAAATTAAATAGTTTCTTTCATCAGAAGTTATCATGGATAATATGCCACAAAAAAGTTTGGAGCTAGTTGGGAGTAACATGAACAGGAACATATAACTAATTTGTATTCTGAATTTTTTAAAGTTTCATATGATTTAAATAGCTAAATCATTAAAAAATAATAATGTTTTTATCTTATTCCTAAGGTGATGACTTCATTATATGGAGCAGGTTTTCGGGGTCTCACAATTAGATAAATAATTTAACTGTAATTATACAAGGGTAATGGGTACAAGTACTACAACCTTAAGTCCCACTTCCTGTTGGTAAAACTGCGTTCTTGTGAGATTGTTTACCAGTTCCTCGCTCTAAGGACCAATGGAAACAATGCCATCAGCTGCAATCCTGGAGCCAGGACCCATATATTTTTTTGACCAGGTATGTGTCTTATCAGCTTTTGCAAATATTATTCTCTCTCACTTTTTTCCCTGCAGAGACTTTATATGTTTAATCGAAAAATATTTGTTGTTGTTTTAGCTGAAAACTAGAAAAAGAGAACGGAGCAAGAAAATACCAGCAGAACGGCCCACTGACTTCAGTTCATTCCACACACATTCGCAGTGGGTAGGCTTAATTCCCAGGTAATTATGTTTGTGTTGCTCCATTGATGATGGGTGTGGGTCAGTTTCTACCAATTAGTTCTTGAGGGGAACATTTAAAAAAACAAACAAACACACAACTCAGAATGAATTTTGTAATACTTATTTGTGCCTTTGAAAACACCCCTGTAAGTGTATTGCTATAGAGTTATCTTATTTACTCATATAATACACACACCCTCCTAAAATCAGCCCTCCAAAATTGAGGTGCATGTCTTAAACTGGGAAGCTGATTTTTCTTTGCTTGTATAGAAACAAACAGATGCTGTGCTCTAATTACTGCCACTTGTCTCTCACCCAACAAGCAGAAGAGGCAGAGTCCTGTGTTAACCCTCTCATAGCTATTGGCTGGGCACTGTGTCTTGTAGCTGAAGGCACAACTTGGCTAGTTCAGGGCAAATGAGCTGCTGCCTGCAGTGTGTAGTGTCTTGATGAGGCTTGTGATGTGGAAACAACATTTATTATTTACAAGCACTTATATAAAGAACTATTTACAGGAAAGCATGGGCGACTGGTGCCACCTTAGTTGGGGGGCACATGCCCCCCCCCCCCCCCCCCCTCCCCCCGCACCCACACCCGTGACTAGTCAGCAACCAGGGGGAGTCCTCCACAACCAATCTCACTGACCGGGGGGGTGTCCCCCTCAGCAAAACTTACCGACCGGTAAGCGGCCATGCTGCTCCCGGAAGTGGCCTACATCCAGCACACTCACTCCCTGGCTGGCGCTCACAGGCGGGGCACCAGCACTCCCGCCTGCCCACCCTGCCCATCGCCTAAGCCGGGAGCACAGCCAGTCAGGGGGTACACCAGTGCTCTCAGGGGGTGCACATGCACCCCTTGCACTCCCTACATGTTGCCACTGCAGGAAAGTAGTAACAGTCTTGCTATTGCCCTTGTGATGGTCTGTGGCCTACCCTTGTTGCTATCCTGCGACACCTGGAAGTTCCTGCTACCTCACCCAGACTGTCTCCTGAGATGTCACACTTCCTGGACACACCGTGTTTCCAAAAAGACTTACTCTGTGTCACACCGTAAGCCATGACTCTGGAAAAATCTTTTTTTTTTCTACATTTTGCCTTCCAAAAACTAGGTGCATATCTTATTTGTGCAGCATATGATATGCTAGAAAATATGGCATTGTTTTCAATCTAAAGATGTGATCTGAGTAAACAGTAATATTCTATGATAATCAGGCTATTTCTGTCAGCTTCTCAAAGAAAAAAAAGTAGAAAGAAAATCGATTTGCACTTGAAATACTGGTATATAATGGTTACAATTTAGCTCCATGAGTAGAGGAAATGTTATATATCCAGAAAAAAGATCATATGATCACTTCAAGCTCTTCAGGGCACAGACTGTTTCCTATGGTGTGTTCCCAATCTTGGTTGGGTTCTTTAGGCACAAAATAAAAAAAAAAAATACTTGGAAAGATGCAAGGTACTATGCTAAACAGCTTGCAATAACATGGCGGGGTTAAAAGACTGGAAGCAAGGGACTCCTGAATTCTAATAACTGTTTCTGTAATTAATTTTCTACTTATCTTTGGACAAGTTCTGTAACTTCTCTGTGTCATGATTTCCCAGTCTGTGAAACTGTAGCAGTGTTGTTCAGCTTAGTGACGTAGTGCTAGGACCTGTGATTGGATGTGAGCAAGTGATATCTAACCGTGCTGAGAAACTTCAATGAGCTGAATGGGGAGTCACCATGAAGCTCTGATTACAGGAACTGAACTCACTGTGTGCACATTTTTTTTTTGTAAATGAAAACCACTGTATACAGCACATGCTAAACATAAATACATTTTTAAGGATTATTGAGATATGTTGAGATTTGAGATGTGAAGGACCCAAAAAAAACCAGAAAAATTGGGGGGGAGGAAGGTAGGAGATACGTTTTTTTGAGGGCTTTTTTGTTTTTTTCCAAAGAAAATTGGAAAAATTGAAAAGTTTTGGAAAATTAAAAAAAACTCTTATGAAATATTTTCTTTTAGATTGATAAATAAAATGTTTAAGACAAGGTGTTTATATGTTGCTACCCTTTACTCCCCAAAAATGTTTTCTAATAACTATGTAATAGGAGGACTTTTATGTAAGACTATCTACAGCAGAGCTTTCCAAACTGTGTGCCGCGAGACATTAGTGTGTCGGCGGCAGTGTGTAGGTGTGTCGCGCGAAATGCAGAAAATTTTGCGGAAGGGCACCGCAGAGCTCCCTTACTCGTGTCTGCTTCCCTTGGCCCCTCCCCCGGAACTGAATTACTGCGTCGTGAAATGATGCATGTCTAAAAAGTGTGTCACCAACATGAAAAGTTTGGAAAGCTCTGATCTACAGTATCAGAGTATTACAGTTCCTGTACACTGAGGACAAGCAGTACAGTACAACTCTCAAAAGCAAGATGGATTTCTGCCCCCAGAGGGCACTGCTATTTTCACAAGAAGGTTTCAGTGTCTTCGTTGCTGGTGGACTTCCTCTATGGTTGACTTTTGATCTAGAGGTTGGTGCATCTGCTCCTATCCTCCTGACTAGGCCTCAAAGGACTGGGAATGGACACTGGCAGCAGCATCCATTTGTTCCTGTAGAGACTAGAAACAAGGAGCTTATTGCCCTGCTTACTCAAAAGCCTCAGGAGAGGAGACGGAGCAAGTCTAAAGGTTTTGGAGTTGGAAGGAACCTGCCTCCTCCTGGCCCTGTGACCTTGAGATCCACAGAAGTACAAAAGCAACCCCAAGGAGCTGAAAAAAGTATATTTCTTTATTAAAAGGTAAGAGTTTAAATTTCTCTGAATTCAGTATATTAAACGATATTTTAGCTGCATTAGTATATTTTTATAACCTATGTAATTCATAATTGAATTCCTACTAATCTGATGTTTTGTGACAAATCATCCAACCTTAGCAGTGAGGTAAGGCTTGCAGGACAGGGAAGTTGTTCACAATTAACTCTAAGGAGGCCTCTCCTCCATCCATTACTAAATTTGTACATGCTGTACTTTAGTGTTTATATATGCAAGCTAGCCACTAAATTACATTTTTCTTTTTTCTCCCTCAGCAAAATGGTGCGACCAACTTCTAGTATATGGAAGCTGTCCCCAGGACGCTGGTTTAGAAGAGGGGGATGCCGGGGCTATGGGGGAACCCCAGGCCAAAATGGAAGGGAAGAAAGGAAAGGAAAG